TTTTTTTTTTTTCCCGCAGCCGATAGCTGGTGGTTTAACTTTGCAGCCGGGGCTAGGGGCCTAGATTAAATCGGACATTGCACAGATCGGGGTCGAGTTGTAATTTGTACGCAGGGTAATCCTTGATTACCTTTTGCCAAATGCATCCTCAGCTGCGTTTTTTTCATCAAACCCGTGCAGCAGACACTGGGACTTCCATGCATCGAATCCAAAAGAACTTATGTTTCATGGCCTCACGCCAATCTTTCAGCTGCTTTTCCGTCATCCAAGGACGGAAGGTCATGTTATAAAACGTATCATTATCCTCCCCGTCATGTAAACCACCAGTACTTCGTAAAGTTGTGCCCGTTAACAAACCACAATTTTAGGAAACGTACGGGCCACTACACGAGCGCCCAAATTCATCCGACTAGAAGCGTTTCTACTCTCTTCTTTCCAGCGGGTGATAGCTGCGCTAAGTACTGGTGGTTTAACATCCAGTCAGTAAGTGATTTTGACAAGGCGACATAGGAAACGAGGTTTTCCCCTTCAAATAGGCCTCTCTTTGGGGGCAGCTCTCGTCACACTCGAGGCAGCCCACCCATTTACTACGTAAATGAAGAACAAGTCTGCTTTCGACATCACCGGAAAGAGAAGAGCCCTCATCACCAAAGAATATTGACACTGCATGTTCATTCAACAACCATACTGCCTGGGTGTTGTAGACCTCTGGGTTGACCAGAACCCCAACGAAATCTGGGTTGACCCGAACCCAGATAACGAAATCTGGGTTGACCAGAACCCCAACGAAATTTGGGTTGACCAGAACCCTAACGAAATCTGGGTTGACCAGAAAAGATTACGGATTCTCTGCTTACCTTCGTTAGTAAGTGGGTTAGGGTGTCGCCCCACGGCACATGAAACGAAAACGAAACGAATGCATCTGCCCACGAAAGATGGCAAAATACACTCGTTACTATTTATAGCTAACCGACGAATCTGGCCATTTTCTGCAGGAAGATGCACTCATTTCGTTTCTCGTTTTGTGTCCCGTGGGGCGACGCCCTTAATGACTTCCAAGCTGCCAACGCGCGCTGTTTGAATTCTGTGGGTAAGATTTCCGCAGAAGCCATGGCTCCATAGAATTTCAAACGAAAGAAATTAAACCACCAATACTTCCTAGAGTCGTGCCCGTTAACGCGCCACGATTTTAGGAAACGTACGGGCTACTACGGAAGCGCCCAAACTTGTCCGACTAGAAACGATTCTACTGTCTTTTTTTCCGCGGCCAATAGCTGGCCCAAGTACTGGTGGTTTAAACATTCTACCAATCCAAAAACACCCCACAAACAGAGGCTTCGATTTAAAAAAAAAAAAAAAAAAAAAAAAAAAAAAAACAAACAAACAGGGGATCTATGCATATACCTTCACCCAAAGGCGGAGCAGAATGTCACCCAAGACGCAGGGACTCTCGAAGGCACGGCCCGAGGCAGTGCGGCAGTGCGCAACTGATGACGACACGAAACATCCGGAGGAACATAGTACTCGCCCACCTCCTGTCAACTCCCCTTTCCCCAAACCCAGGTCAGGAACATCTCTCGGTCTTGTATCCCGAGGCGCTGGCAGTCTCTGGAATCCCGAACACAAAGCCTGGGCTTCTCCATCAACCAACACACTACACAAGGCAAGGCCTGACATGCGCCGCAGCCCTCCAGCACCGCCACTAATGCACCACCGCCATTAACGCACTGCGTCTGCTATCACCTGTCCTTTCTTTTTTTTGTTTAAGGGCTACGCCGCTACGACCTTTAGATGTTGTCATTAAGCTCACCAGCCCCAGGTAATTCAGAAGTCTCAGTTATTTAATACTTATTTATTTATTTGTAATTCAGCTGTATTCTTCTCTCAATCTCACTGTTCACCACCTACCTACCACTAGTTCTAGTTTCATTCCTCTACTTCCATCATCTGGATTCGAACATGGGTAGCTTTTCGTTAATCATGGGCGTATTTAGACAGATTGCAGCCATGGGCGTATCGACTGACGTATGCTCGTCGGTGCTTTTCGTTAATCACCATTTAGTACGCTGCCCCTTTTCCGTCACTCATGGCCTTTCCAAAGTGCTCCTGGAGACGGTAGGGGGGGTGGGAGCTACTCTCTCCTTTCACTGGCAGCCAGTTCGAGCGAGTCTTTATTTGATTTTTTAGATGCTCCTATAATGTCTTTGTCTTCATAGGATGTTCCTACTCCATATTAATGGTTTTTTAGAAGATTAAACTGTTATTCAACCAAGTCAAATCGTAGAAGCCGCAGAAAAAATGATGAGACAAGGATTGTGCTTGGCAGCAAGCCTTTGGAAAACATTTTGGAGAGCTCACTGACAGCTGCAATCCGTTGAAAAGCGAGGATTATCACGGCAGTCCTTTGAAAACCGAGGAGCCCACTGCCTCTTCTTCACTGCCCATGCCCTTTCCAAAGTTTGCAGCCAGGCGAATGTGCCTACTCCAGTCGCTTTTTGTTGTGTAGCATGGCTTTCGGTTTGCAGCATTAGAGGGCGTTGAGAAGTACGCCCTAAGGGTGCGTGGCTTTCGGTTTGCAGCATTAGAGGAGGGCGTCGAGAAGTACGTCGGAAGGGTGTGGTCGTGAGACCTACAGGTCCCTTCAGCGGTTGGCCAGCTTGGGAGGGCCACGACCAGTGGAGGTCGGCAGTGCACAGTCTGGGGTGGCGTCCAGGCTTTTTCCCATTTGGAAAACGAGTACCCCTTTCACATTTCGAAAACGAGGAGCAGTTGAATCGTGGACCCCACGAAAGAGGGATGATTTTTAGAGGGATGCTCTCTTTTCTCCCGTGGCAACTTCCCATGTTCTGGGAGAGGACGAGCGGAGTTGCCGAGTCATGCTGTTTGTTTTCCTTCTTTATTTTTTGTTGTTATCTTTCTTTTTCTTTCTTTTCTCTTTCCTGCTGTGTGTCCTCACAGGACCCACCCCTTCCTACTTCAACTTGCTTCTCCGTCTAGGGGGCACTATTGCCCTACCTCGGATATACAGACAACAGTTGCAGGCACCAGCATCAGGCCAGGACAACCCCTCCCAGCCCTAGTGGAAGCACTATCGAATGCGCCAGGCCAGGACAACCCCTGCCAGCCCTAGTTGAAGCACTATTGAACGACCTTTGTCGTACAGTGGGCACTTCTGTCAGCAGGCACTTCTGTCAGCAAGCACGATCGCCATGTACACTTTCCTTACGAGCACCAGTCCGGGTTGGTCAGACAGAACATTCCTCCGAGCCACCTCAGGCAGTGTCTATTTCTTTTGTTTGCCAGGAGGCGTATCTTTCCATGTTCAAGCCGAAGAGTCGTTCTTGCTGCACGGAAAGATAGACCGCCATCTCTCTATCACTAAGCAGATGCACAAAATGAGAGAACCGAGTCTTCAGCTAGAACATGGAAAGATACACCAGCCTATATTTTGAATGCCCAGTGAGAACACAGAAAGATACACTGCGATATTCTCTGTTCTGCAGATATTGTCGTTGTTGGGCCAACTCGTCGGCCCCGAAAGCATAAATAAGCTCAACGCTGTGCCTCCCATACATAGCACACACACACACACACACACACACACACACACACACACACACACACACACACAGAGAGAGAGTTGTCGCAGCATGGGGACCACCACCACCCGGTGATCACTGCATAACCGAATCAGGAAGTGACTCTCTACCGTCATCCAGACGCTGATAGCTACGGATGATGCAGGCTACTGTTTCAATTGCATGTTAAGTTCGTCCATTCTTCAAGTTCCTCCTTTCGAGTTTCCTGTTGAACTTGAGAACTTTGTGATTGCTTCTCATCTCATCTACCATGCAGAGTGTTACCCTTCTCTCTTTTTCCCTTTTTTTTTTTGTACTACCGTAGTCGGTTGGAAGGGACGGGTGTTGTACCGTTGTCGACAGGGGGATGAGTGGGTTATCCTCACATGGTCGTCGTCAGGGTTAATCATGTTACATGGTCACCAAGCGTGTGACAAGTGAAAATGTGGCTGGTTGGTGCGATTGATCGAGGGTGGACGTAAAGAAAGACAGGCTGATCCTAGGACTTCTTCAGCTTAAGCTCCACCGGCACGTTCCGACGGTTGGATTGTGGATACCATCGTCTGGTATCTATAATGCGCACTGCTTATTGTGTATACCATCGTCTGGTATCTATAATGCGCACTGCTTCCTCCACAACAAACGCCTTCGCCGTCTTCTCTCCCCGCTGCACATCCACGCTTCACATGGTGTATCTGTGCTTCTAGAGGGGGTAGGCTGGGGGGGGGTTATTCTCTCCTTTTAGTCAGCCACTGCTTCCTCCACATCAAATGCCTTCGCCCTCTTCTCTCCCGGCTGCACCTCCACGCTTCGCATGGTGTATCTGTGCTTCGAGAGGGGTTAGGCTGTGGGGGGCTATTCTCTCCTTTTAGTCAGCCACACACTGCTTCCTCCACGACAAACGCCTTCGCCCTCTTCTCTCCCGGCTGCGCATCCACACTTCGCAAGGTGCATCTGTGCTTCTAGAGGGGGTAGGCTGTGGGGGGCTATTCTCTCCTTTTAGTCAGCCACACACTACTTCCTCCACAACAAACGCCTTCGCCCTCTTATCTCCCGGGGGGGTAGGCTGTGGGGCGCTATTCTCTCCTTTTCGTCAGCTCGAGGGGAAAAGAGACAGAGGTTGGATGGAGACGGCAAGTCGTCCTGATCAAAGAACTTTCAGGTAGGAAGGTGCCAAGAATTATGGAGTTCCAGTGGGGTCCGTTTTTTCTTGCCCGTCCCTGGCAGCTCAAATAACGCTTTCCAGCCGCCAAGCCATCTGCTGCTTCCGGGGGGACCAGGCCTTTAACTTGGAAGGTGCCACCAGGGAATGGACACACCAGAGAGAATGCAAACTATTTTTCAATCAGCACACAGCAGAAGTGAGATATGCAGCGATCAGTGCAGGGACAGCGAGCCCACCTGCACAGGGCAAGAAGTAATCAAAGGGCATAAGTCGTAGACCTGGTCCAGGGGAAGGACCAGGTTCATATTTCCAAAAAATGGACTACGATAGAATTCCACAACAACCAACCCCACACAGGTCTATTATCATCCACAGACAAAGGGAACGTCTCTCTCTCTCTCTCTCTCTCTTCCGCCCTTACCAGCCCAGGACATCGATCGTGATCTCTCAAATCACACGTAAGGCACAGGTTCACAGGTTGCCTATTTTCAAGTATATAAGCCTGACAGATTTCCAAATGGCCGCCGATCCCCAAAGGATTGTCACTGATCGGATTGTCACTTGTCCGTCAGAGACTACCAAAAAAGCAACAGGGATGGCACAGCTAAGACCCATGAACAAGACAAGACGCATTCTATCACTCTATCACAATAGCTTGAAGCTTAAGAGTAAGCAGCACTTTCCGGCGTCAGTGCAATTGCTGAAAGTCTGAAAATCTTCTCAACTTCCGTCCTCTCCTCTCTTTCAACGCCCCACAAGGCAAGCAAATCGTTTTATTATAACCTCTCGTCTTTCTTTATCCTCTTGCCTGTTCTAACGGTCCGTTATCTCAACACTTAGGACGACGACGGCTGGCCAGATTGCTGGCATAACGGACCGTCAAAGTCCTTTGATCAGAGCCGTCCGAAGCACCCGTCCTTTGATCAGAGCCGTCCGAAGCAGCTGATCCTTCAACCATCGTATAGGATTAACGGGCCTGCAATTATCTTCCTTGCTCGGCAGCACTAGTTACAGTAACAGGCCTTTTGCCTAAAAGCGCATCTGGGCCCCATCCGTACCTCTCCATGCACCTAGCGCATCTGGCCCCAACTGCACCTCCATGCACCCAGCGGCGAGATAAGGTAGTCCTCTTCGTCGTCGTCATAACGCCTGACGCGTCCTACATCACAACTTGTCAAAATTTCCCTTTCCACACCATATCGACAAAATTCCATTACCACCCAACAGCTTCCCTCCTCGTCGTCATAACGCCTGACGCGTCCTACATCACAACTAGCCAAAATTTCCCTTTTCCACACCACATCAACAAAATTCCATTACCACCCAACAGCTTCAACGCAAAACGGTCTCTTAGAGGGATAATAATCTACTCACGAACAGAATAGATAATAACAAAAATGGTTCCGACCATGACATGCTCTCTCTCTCTCTCTCATGCTTCCCCAAGACAAGGGGAATCATCCTTGTCGACCCCAACTCGGCTTCCCTCCATGCCTTTCATGGCATGATGCGTTCGTGGGAACAACTCTAATCTCGTTCACAATGCCGCCGTTAACCCACCCATAGCAGCACGGGAATGAGTCAGCAACCCGCGCAACCCTCACGAACGAGCCTCTCTTCATGCATTGGATGAGCAGACAACGTTTGACGACATGATGATCCTGCTGCTGCTGATGATACGATGGTGACCATGATGATGATGATGATGATCACGATGATGATACGATGATGATGATGATGTTATGCAGCTAATGATGACGGTGATGTTTATGATGATGCAGATTCTTCCCAGCTTCTTCCTCTATATCTCTTCCCATCAAGAAACCTCTTCTCGCCTGTCCATTCGACAACTGGACCTCCTCATGTGTCACTCGCACCCTCGGCAGCGACAGAACGAGAGCCCAAGACGTTGCCAGCAGAACCCACTACCATCGTCCGTTTTTGAAGAGCATTGCCGCCACGGTACGCTAGGACTAGGATTCTTTTGAGAGAACAGAGAGAAGAGAGAAAGAGTAGGGCTGCCAGGATAATCAGGGATGCTTTGACGACTGCCCACACCTTAAACATATACTCTCTACTTGAACTTATGTAAACCTCGACTACACTCCTCTCAATCACCGGTAGCCGCCAATGTGGGCCTCTTCTACTATAGCAAAGCATGGCAGCCGGGGTCAGAGCCTAATCAGGCTACTGGAGAGTACGTATGATTTGCAGATGGGAGTGGTCAACTATACGCGATTTGAAGACGCGTGCGGTGTCTTGTAGCGGTTTCTCGTCCCCTACCCCCCCCCCCCCCCCCCCCCCAACTTCAATAATCTGCAAATGGATGGATAAGAAGAAAAGATTCGAACGCGCGTCCTCTACGAAGTGACATTTCTCATTTCACTTCTACCCCCCCCCGGCATAGGTATAGTACCGTAAGAAGGCACCTCTCTCGTCTACGCACATGCGTAGTCTGACTTGCAGTGATTTTCTTAACTCTACTCCATTCCCCCACACCCTTGTACAATATAGCTCGCATGTGTCCCCACATCCGCACACTCGAACAACTCAGGGCATACTCACAAGAGGCCTTTTTCTACGAAGCTCTGGACGAGATGGCGGCCAGATTCGTCCACGTTAGGCCGTCCACGTTTGGCCGTAATTGCAGTCAGATACATTTACGAAAGTGCTAGTGTGAGTATGCCCTAATCTCCGACCATAGCAACAACAAATATGCCCTAATCTCTGACCATAGCAGCATAATAGAGTGGAGTCGGGGAACTTTTCAACCCCCAAATCCGTTCCGTTAGCTACGGTCAGATGATAAACTGGCTACTGCTTCCATCTAAGCATAGCATAGCATAGCATGGACACGTGCTATTCAATGCGTACGATCTTAGGCTGTGATGATAGATAGCAACCCAAAAAAACGTGGAGCGACTTGCATGATAGAGTCGTTGGAAACATCTCCATCTCAACCCCCAAATCATTAGGCTCCAGTAGCTATGGTAGAGTAGGGATGCATGATAGAGTCGTGGGAAACATCTCCATCTCAATCCCCAAATCATTAGGCTCCATTAGCTATATGGTAGAGTAGGAATGATGATCTGCCTACTGCTTTTGTCTAAGCATAGCACGCACACGTGTCGGCAATCCGTACAATCTGATGAACCCCTCAGCGTCGGCCTGATTGTAAATGCCGCTGCCTTCTTCAAACGACGAGATATCTTCTCTGTAAAGACTGAAGGGACTTGTACGACTCGCCACCGTAGCAGAACCCTTATAGAGCTTCATTCGGACGGTACCCGTGCATGTCTCAGTCACCTTATTCATGAACTGATCCATTCCCTCTCGCAAAGGACAAAACCATTGTCCCGCGTAGACGATCTCCGCGTACTTCAAAGCTAAGGCATCCTTCACGGCGATCGTCTCTCTGTCGAGGCACAGCGCCTCGAGTTCCCTGGCGGCGGCGACAAGGATCGTGCCACCTGGAGTCTCGTACACTCCGCGGGACTTCATCCCCACGAAGCGGTTCTCCACCATGTCGCATCTCCCGATCCCGTGCCTGCCGCCCAGATCATTTAGCGCGGCAACCAACGCGGCCGGCGAAAGATCCCGACCGTTGACTGTCACCGGGATCCCAGCCTCGAAAGCGATGTCCACGTACTCCGGAGAGTCCGGCGCCTGCTCCGGCGACGTGCTCATCAAGTACATCTCTTCCTTGGGCTCGTTCGCCGGGTCCTCGAGGATGTCCCCTTCGTGACTCAGGTGCCACAGATTGCGATCCCGACTGTAGATGGACTTCTTCGTCACCGGGATCGGGACGTTGTGCTTCTTGGCGTAGTCGATGGCGTCCTCCCGGCCCTTGATGTCCCATTCCCTCCACGGAGCGACGACCTTCAACGACGGGTCCAGCGCGCAGAACGTCAGCTCGAACCTCACTTGGTCGTTGCCTTTGCCAGTGCATCCGTGCGCGACGGCGTCTGCGCCCACCTCGTGCGCCACATCCACCATCGCTTTGGCAATCACCGGCCGCGCCATCGACGTGCCCAACAAGTACTTCCTCTCGTAGATCGCTCCCGCCTTCAAGCACGGGAAAATGAAATCCTTGACGAACTCTTCCTTCAAATCTCGAATCACTAATTGGCTGGCTCCGCTCGCTTTGGCCTTCTCCTCTAGCCCCGTCGTCTCGCCGCCTCCTTGACCCACGTCCGCAGTGAAGCACACCACCTCACACCCATAGTTCTCCCGCAGCCAAGGAACGATCACCGAAGTGTCCAGTCCTCCGCTGTAGGCAAGAACCACGCGATTAAGCTTCCCCCGCAGTCCGCTGGGTCCGCCAGCCGTCTTCGTCGCTTCGGCGCTGCCGTCAATGGGCGCCATCACAGCGGACGCCGTGGCCGTCGTCTTCGTGCTCGAGCCGAGAATCCGAGAACAACGGTCGCGTCGTCCGCAGACCTGCAGAACAGCGCGATCGAGCAGCGCGCCGAGCTCACCAGTGTACGCGGAGGACGAAGAAGCAGCAAGACAAAACGCCCTCGCCGAAGGCTTCTTCTTATCTAAAATCCGCGGCAGCTCTGCAGCGGGGCGAAAAGGAGGGAGAAGAGAGAAAGAGGAGAAAGACGAACCTTCTCCTCCTCCTTGCGCCTGATGACGTGTCGAGGCCAATGATTGACTGCGCCCCGACGTCGCGGTCAGTGCTAGTGACCGTCCAGCAACACCAGCTGCTACAGCAGCCATGGGTTCGCACCTTCGATTCCCCCCCCTACCACTCCCTCTTCCTCCCTACCTCTCCCTCTTCCTCCCTACCTCTCCCCTCTCTCTCTCCCTTCCCTGCCACTTAGAATTTTAACTCGGATCAACTATTGCCACGTGTTATTCCCGCCCTCTTCACCGTCCACCTCCGACCGTCTATCTCCCGCCACTTACCGCTCCCGTTCCCTCACTGATGATTCCGCTGCCTTGGCGGCGGCGAGGCGCCTGGGCGGCGGGCGCACCTCTTCCTTCGAGATTCTGCTGCCTTGGCGGCGGCGACGCGCCTGAGCGGCGGACTCCAGTCGATCGGCGGGCCGGCGGGCGGGCGGGCGGGCGCGAACACCTTACGACACCCCCCGTACGTGCCAAGCGCTTGGTAAAGCCAGGTCACAATGCACGCTTCGTGCTGCGCGCCAAGTACGTAACAAAAAGAGTTACAAAAACGGAGGGATACGGTGTCGAGCACCCAAAAAGCGCATTGCGGCGCTCACCCTTTTCACTTTTCCTCGGCGGGGGCGCGGTTCCCCCAGTGTGGATAAGCTCACCTGGACAGGATGACCGGTTTCGTGCATCCCTCCAGACCATTCAAAGCATGCACAGGTCTCCGCAAGGGCCCACGGTACCGAGTCCCAGTTTTTTCCCCTCTGTATATAGACCCAGCCGTAGGCCGTGAACATGGAAACATAGGCGGCCTCCCCTCCACTAACTCACCAAAAATTAACAAAATGAGAACGAATCTACTCCTAGAACATGGAAACATACATACACCACGATAACTTTTGTCTTTTGCGGATGCGATCAGTGGTGGAGCGAGGCCCTCGAACATAGGGTCCGTACGTACGTACGGTCTATAGAGGGTCAGTAAGTTCCGAACGAGGCACGGTCTATAGAGGGTCAGTAAGTTCCGAGCGAGGCACGTGTTGACCCCCCGTCAGGTATTCGGAATTCTTTTTTTTTTTCTGTTTTTTGGGGGGGCGGTGGGAGGTATTCGTTCGAGGAATTCGGCCCTACCGTAGCTCTTCCGCTGATCACATGCACAACACTTATGTACTCGTATCATGTTCGAGGGAAGATTCGTTCTCATTTGCATGTTTGATGAGTGGTGGAGCGAGGTCCTTATTGAGGGCATTTCTCAAATTTTGGGGCTTTTGCGACGGCGCTATTTTTGTTTTTCCATTCAATTGAGTCGAGGGCGGGGAACTCACAAGTCAACCCGCGGAGGTGCGTGCTGGAGGTATTCGACGTAGAGCAAATGAAGAAAGATGGGCAGCCTGCAGAGCTTCGGAACAATGGAAACAATGGGATTGAATGACATGGCAGAATGCAGAGTGCGGTATAGAGGAGGGAGGTGACGGGACGGAGTACTCGCCAGTACCACAGGGAACCGAAAGGCTACGCATCGATCCAGAGGCATGGGGATGGGAACTTGAAGGGAAAGCAGTAAATAGGGATACAGAAATTAGATTACAGGTTAGCAACTAGCTCACTGGGTACACCCATGAATCGTTGAAATACACAGACCAGGTCCTGTGGTCGAATCCAGATGATGGAACTTGATGAGTGAAACCTACTACTAATGAATTTGAATTGCCTGGGGCCGGTCAGCTCAATGATAATATCTCAAGGCCGTCGCCGGTTAGCAACTAAAATAGCATAGAGGCCACAGACACTGTCAGCCAAATTGATAAAAAGATGGGAGAAACATAGACCCAGATAGGAAATGCCCAAACAGGAGGAGTACTATAGTGTTATGAACATGATTGTCTGTTGAAATTTTATCAACACTCAGGGCCTCCCCACACAGGCTGTCGAAATGTGCAAGACGAGAATGAACTTCCCGCTACAACATGGCCAGATGCACCTGCCACATTTTTGTTGTTTTTGCTTTTCGACAGGCTGTGTGGCGAGGCCCTTACTCACAGGAACTCCCGTACACGCCCATACATGCACAGAAGGAAGGGGAGAGGTAGTGGAGTATCACATCGCCCAACAGAAAGAAACGCAGCGGAAGACTCAGAGGAGCAAAGTGACAGAACACACAAACTGTGAATTCTCTCCACACAGATCCCAACCATCATTCATAGGAGACAACCCAGTGATCACAGCCAGAAATCAATGAAGAGATGACAACTCAAACACAGTATTATAACTGTTTATTACACTCAGAGCATCGTTTTCCCTGAATATCCTCAGAACCCTGTTGCGCTACCCTCAGAGGGGCAGCGCCTCCACCCCAACACCCTAAACAGCTAAAAATAGCACCGAAACCCCAGGTAGCACCCAGCGCCAACCTGACATCCAACTCAGTGGCCTGCGCCAAAGTGAAACAGGCTCCCAGAGCCAATCGCCACCCAGATGATGAAGAAGAAGCTTAGCGTCAACAGTCCCTGATGAAGATGAAGTCCAGACGATGATCTCTATGAGAAGATGCAGCTATGGCTGCATCGCCACTGGGACCCTGCTCCTGAGGAGGGTCAGCAGTGCACCACGTGCTCCAACGCATCAGACCTCTGATAGCCCAGACCGCTTTGACTCCCAGAGAGTCAGAGCGGACAGCGTTGACCCCAGTCTGGTCAGCACTCCGAAGGTCTGGCTATGTCCGCCGTCTCCACCACGGGAATCAGCAACCACGACCTGATATCGTGTGCGCAGCAACTTCCACCACGAAGTGTCAGCTGCCAAAAGCCCAGGACCGATGTCCCCATCCTATCTATACCTCCCAAAATGCTGTTTTGTACCACACCGTAGCTAGTATGGCGTTATTGATTGCCAGCGCTCTCCCCACTAGTGATGTGTGTAGTCCATCCCATTTGGCTAGTTTTTGGAGCGCTGTTTGGACCAAGACCTGACCATGATCCATTGGGGGCCCAAGGGCTGTCAGGCGGACCCCCAGAATTCTGATGGCCTCTTCTCTTGGTCTCCAGCTGACCTGAGGCTGTTGCGGCGGATATGCCCTGGAATATGACATAAGCCCCATCAAGGCTCACTTAATCCGTGCGGAACGGGCGCGGAACATATCTTTTTTTTTTTTTTTTTTTTTGGGGGGGGGGGGGGGG